AGAGCCCGCTCCGAGGCCGCAGCGGATCCCACCCTCGGAGCCGCTCCTCCACGGCGGCGACAGAGCTCAGAGCCTGCAGAGGAGCAGGACAGCAGGTGAACAGTGAACAGTGAACAGTAAACAGCCCACAGCCCACTTCCTCCTTCCGTCCCGTCCCCGCCTGCGAGAGTAAAGGGCCAAGAGGGGCCACTCACAAGACCGCCCCGTCTGTCCCACCGCAGTGCTTGATTGGTTCGGCTGGGGCACATGACCGAGCCGGCCAATCAGAATTCTCCCTTGGGATTTTTTTTTTTTCCACCCTGACCTGTAAAGACAGCTCAGGCTCGCTGTAAACCCTGGATGTCCGTTTACAGGAGGGGAAAGTGAAGTCTCAGCAAAGAGCAAAGCAAAGGATGGAGAGACAGACACAGATAACAGCACCTCGATGTTGAGGCTCTGGAGCTAAGTGCTCTGAAAGCAGAGCAAGGCTGGTCCTCTGCTGTCTGGTTAAATGAGCCACTTCATCCTTATAATCTCTCCTGAGAGTTTGAATTTCTAACGCTTTCATCCAGAAATGCACTAGTAACTAGACTCACTTCGTTCTGGAGGGCTGATTGTAACTCAAGGTGGTTAACTGAAGGCTCAGGCTCCTCTACACAGCCTTTTATTTTATTTTTTGAGACAGGGTCTCACTACGTAGAGACTGACCTGGAATTCACTATGTAGCCCAGGCTGGTCTCGAACTCACAGCGATACTCCTGCCTCAGCCTCCCGAGGGCTGGGATTACAGCCGTGCACCACCCCGCCCGGCTGCACAGCCTTCTAACTTCTATATACAGGCAGATCTCAGCGTCCTTAGAGAGACTCTGGCTCAGGATTTCTCAAACCCACACAGGAAAGAATGTTGTAATGTTCCTTCTACAACTCTTTAAGGCTTAAATCTGTATCTGAGACCATCTGGAAGCACAAACAGCTGGCACTCAAGTAATAAATTAAAACCAAAATGCTGGTCATAACTCAAGTGGTTCATAAGACAGGCCTGTCATAATGAAAGAGAACACTACATAAAACAACATGCGGTTTGCTTTGTTTAGTTCAGAATCAACAAGCACTGGAGGCACCTAGTCTCCCTAAAAAGTTTTGTAAATGAAAAGAACTGCTGTTAACTTTGCTAACCAGACACGCCCCCTACCCTGGGCTAGAATAGATAACTAGATGAATTTTAAAGGTAACCTCCCTTACCAAAGAAGTGCAGCATCAGGGATGAAATTCAACTGCCTGGCACCATGTTTTGAATATCAGCAATGTGAACTGTGGAAATGCCCAGTAACTACTTGAATGAGATCAAGGCTGTAAAACCCTATAAAAGGGGGAGTTGTAGTCCAGTACTTAGTCCATCAGGGTACTGCCATTAGGTGTGATGGATCCCCATCAACGGAGCAAACTTTTATTTTACTTCCATTCTGCTGCCTGTCTGTCACTTGCCAATTCCTTCCCTAACAAACAACTCAAAGGTCCACTGTACACACAAAAGGTATATATAAAAGGCTCTTTTTACTGACCCCACCCACCCCCAGTACTAGGGACTGAGTGCGGAACTTTCACACTGAGCTACATCCCTGGCCCTCTTTCCTTTTTTTTTTTTTTTGGATTTTGCTAAGTGGCAGACTGCCCCGGCTGGGCTCCAACTTGCAATCCTGCTTCAGCCTCCCCAAATGCTCGCATACATACCTCAAATAATATCACATTTCTTCAGTGCCTTGTAAAAAATTCAGTGTATCATTTTACACACAATGCACAATGGGTTTTTCTTTTTCATAATTTTAAGATCTTAATTGGAAAAAGAAAAGGAATTTAAAAACAAGGAGAAGAGGCATATAGCAGATTCAGAAAGCAAGCAGAACTGTGTAAGCTTTAGAAGATCTGCTTTAGCTGCTTGGACACAAATCCAGTCCTGTTGTGTGACATCCTGTCTCTGCAAACCTGTCCCCAGTACAGCAGACCCAGACAGTCCCCAGGAAGTGAGGCTTCGGACAGTGAGGCTCACCTTCTGCAAGCCAGTGTTGTGCCTCCGTAGACAGAGGCAGACAGCTGTGGCCAGGGCCTCGGCACAGTCCTCTGGCAGCAATCGGGCTCTCTTCTCCATGTACTTTTGGCAAATCTCCTTTGCCATCACCTTCTCCACCCCAGTCTTCCTGGAGCTTGGAATTTTACTGAGGAGTAAATCCTTCTGTGGAAGGAAGAATGGAAAGGCCTTCAGTGAGCTGTACAGTAGCAGTCACCATGCCTGCGCCACCTACCTCTAGGACTGCCCTGGAGCCCGACAGCTTCTCAAAAAGCAAAGTGAACATTTAAAACTTAAATGCAAGGGTCTCTGAGACAAGAATAACACTAGGAAGTAGAACATCACTCAGTTCCCTATATGCAGTCCACAGTACACTTGTACCAGAACCACACACCTCTATTGTTCATAAGGAAAATTGCAATCACGAAAACATCTCTCCTAGGACTGACAGAAACATTAGCAAAATAATGTATGGTTTGTATCTAGATGTCCCCCACAAGGCCTCATGTGGTCATAGGTGGCTGAATCTAGAATGTGTGATGCTGGAATTAAGGATGTGTGATTACTAAATTGGTTTGTAACCACCCCAATCCTGGTAGCCTGGATACAATATAAGGGACAGAAAGAGACTTGTCTTCTCCCTTGTTGCTTTGCTACTTTCAGCCCACAGTGAATTGTTGCCTCTTTGCCATGTGCCACCCTGCCTTGGATCCAGCCAATTATGGATAAAGCCTCCACAAACTGTGAGCTAAATAACTCTTTTAACTTTGGGAGTTGGGCACTTTATCTCAGCAATGAGAAAAGAAACTAACACAGTAGCTAAAGCACAAAGTATGGTACCTCACACAGAAGACACACACAGTCGCCTACTGGTGACAAATAGTACCAGTAATAACTATCACGTACCACACACTGAGCACTTTACTTATATTAATAATTTAATCTTATTAGCAAGCACATGGGCCCTTTCCACCTCTATGGGTGCCATGACACACATGAAAAAGCTTATAGCAAAGGGAGGCAAAAAGAAATAGGAGGCTCTCAAGTTCACTCGGAAGGCACCCACCCTGCAAAAGATGGAATCATGGATGCTGCTGATCTCAGTTTCTCCAAGAGAAAAATCAATGCAAACAGAAAAGCTAAGAGTCCTGGGGGAGGGGGTTGTAAGCATCAAAAGTAGTAAGAGCACAGGGGTCAGGCATTTAGCTCAGTGGCACCACTGAGTTCTGTCCCAGTATTCTATTCAGAGATATCTTTTTTTTTTCCTTCTTGGTCTGAGAATGGAACCCAGGGCCCTGCATGTGCCTTGTTACTGAGCTACATTCCCAGCCCACTCTAAAGAAATATCTGAATACTAATTTACACGAATGGTTCCACGCAGCTACTAAATGCAAAGAGAGTTACAAATAATATTAATTATAAATTAACCAGAACAAAGAAGAAAAGATGAGGATCAAAACTTTCATGTCTGGAACATTTTGTATGAGTTCTTGAATAAAACTTGGGAAGAAAAGAAAAAGGAATTAATGGAAATGGGAATGGATAATCTCTTAGAATACAAAACTAACATGTAGGCTTCCAGGATGGGGTGTGTATGCAGCTCATTGGTAAAGTTATGGAAGGCCCTGGCTGGGTTCAATCTCTGGTACCACAAAAGCTAATTTTAAATATATACTCACAACTGGGCACAGGTACATATACCTGTAATCTCTACAACTCAGGATGCTAAGATAGGAGGGACCCACCATAAATTCAAGACCAGCCTAGGCAACTCAATCAAAATCTGTCTCAAAAGAAAATTTTATGCAATTTTTGGGGTTTTTTGTTTGTTTGTTTGTTTTTTTTTTTACACAGTCTCACTATGTAGCCCAGGCTGGCCTTGAACTCACAGCAATCCTCCTGCCTCAGTCTCCTAAGTGTTGGGATTATAGGTGTGCATCACCAGGTCTGGCATTCAAAATAAAATTTGAAAAAGGACTGGATTTGTAGCTCATTGGTAGGTAGCATGTGTGATGAGACTCTGGGTTCAATCCCAGTACCTCCAAAAATATATAATTATGTATTATGATTTATTATTCTTTATGAATGTAGAGTCATATAATTATAAACATGTAAATGATATACTGTATTTGGTTCTATATATGAAGCAGAATTCTAAAAGCTATACAACAGAAGATATGATATAATGATTATGTTTCTATTTAAATATGTAAGTACATTCAGCATAAAGCATATTTTATATAATATATATTTCATATGCAATATGGTATACTGTATGTGTTTATTTATATATTCCAAATACATTGTATGAAACACATTGATTAAATATAAAAAATTAATACTAATTATATACACTATTAACATAGTTACACTGCATTAATTATATCACCATGTTGCCATAATTTATGTTTTCTATTTGTCTCCACAAGGATAGTTCGTGTAAATAATAGAACATTTTTACATACACTTTTATACAATGTATTTGTCATATACAATATTGAGTACACTTTAAATAGTGCCATATATCATATACATCTTTTAATTATACATTATCAAACATATAATTTTAGTTACATGTATTAGTTCTATTAATATACATATTTCAATATATTTTACATATGACATACTCTATGTTATAGACATACTCTATGCTATGTAAAATGCAAAAACCTGATGAAATTCCAGGCCTCCTCAACCAAACTATATCCCAGCCCTTTATTTTTTTAGTTTTTACTTGTTCAAGACCAGTGCCCTGTGTGTGGTGAGTGCCTCATGCATGTTTTCACAAACTGTTCATGCCAATTTACTGTTTTTGGCTAAGTTTCATGTTTTCTTTTTGTATAATTTTATTATTTTTACCAGAAGCAATTTATTCAGTGTGAAATTCATTTTTACCACTTTAAACAAACACATTTACAATTCAGAAAAAACATTTCTGAGAGATTATCAGCCATGAGTTGTAATGTTTGCTTCAAAAACAAACAAAATAGCTGGATATGGTGGTGCATACACATGGTCCCAGGTACTTGGGAACCTGAGGTAGGAAGATCACTTGATCCCAGGAGTTCAAAGCCAGCCTGGGCACTATAGTGAGACTACATCTCAAAAAGACCACAATGCAGAGCTGGGCATGTGGTTACACACACCTGTAATCCGAACACTCCTGGGAGGCTGAGGCAGGAGGATCTCAGTGTGTTCAAGGCCAGCTTGAGCCACATAGTAAGTTCAAGGCCAGCCTAGACTACATAGTGAGACCCCATCTCAAAAAATAACAACAGAACCACACCTGCTCCCGACCCAGCAGCCATCGCTCAAGCACTGGGAGGTAGTCTGGGACCCGATCCACCGTGGGAAGGAGAACCATGCCTGCTCCCGACCCAGCAGCCATCGCTCAAGCGCGGGGAGGCAGCCACGTGGGTGCCCCTGAATCCCCATAAGCCACCCCACCCCCACCCCACCCCCGCACTCTCAGACCTCCTGACTGTGCCAGTCTTTGGACCCACTCTGCAAAGACAGAGGTGGTCATCAAGGGTATTTTTCTGAGTTCCCAACTTTGAACATCTTTAAAGAAAGGGTGTGGGAAACCTGTAATAGAACGTTGCGGAGTTCAACCATTCAGAAGGATGGGGAACTCAGTCTGGGCCTTACAGCCCGAGGTCAGTCAGCATCAGGGGGTTCAGCCATCAGCTAACTGAGATCAGGGGTCTTGCATCCTCGCTCTGTCTGAGCCATTAAATGGTAAATACACTATATTGAAATTTAGTTCACTGCAGACATGTTCTGGACCTCTTCTTGATTTCAATTTAATTCAAATGATTTAAGGGTGATAGACTAGTGACTACCACAGGTGGTCAGTGGGCAAGTTGTGCTTGATCTTAATGTGTTGCTGATTGTATCAGTTGGGGTAAAGCACTGCTGTTGATTTGATGAGCTGTTTTCTCTGATGTTATGAAGATGAGAATGTCTGTGGGTCCTTAGAGACACAGAAGCTAGGGTGCAACTATATCAGGAAGATTTGGGTGATAATCCAGAGATTAAACCAAGGACAGTCTGACAACAAAAAT